ATTTCAAAGACTACATAAATCTTTCATCCTAAATATATGCAATCCTAGAAATAGTTTTGTATATGAATGAAAATAATTTTAATAGTGTGATAGGTACACGTAGACTGTATTTAAAAGCAGAATTTTCACTTGCTGAAGGGAAAAGCGCTACAGTACAAACCATTGTTTTGACTCAACTTTATTATTTTTAATCTTTAACACGGTATACCTTAAATTATTAATTCACTTGTAGTTTTTTTTTTAAATACTAATATTTTACTTCTTATTTTTACGACGAATCAAAACAATTATTTAAAATTTTAATAGATTTTTCAACCGACCCTGTTTATTGTAGTTGTACTATACAAAAAGAAAATCTACATTTAATACCAATTGAAAGTAAAAATAAATCTACTATAAGTTTCTGTCATCAAAAAACAATAATATAAAATAAAAATGTCAATTTCAATAAACCATTACTGACTTAAATCGTATAGATTATACGAATATGCTAAATTCCATCTATGTATATAAACTTGAAATTTTCGGCCAATACATTTTCCCCATTTGTAATATGCATAATATTATATACCTTGACATATGTAGGTCTATTATTTTATTTTTCAATATAATAATACATTTCAGATACAGGTATTTTTAACGAATAAAAATAAATTTGTTATGTATGGCTTATAAAAGGCTCACGGGATCAGTGAATTGATATAAAAAAAAAATAAGATAAAAAAATTTTTGGTCTATACGCATAAAAAAGGTAAATTGATATTAATGTTAAACATTTTTGTCGTTACATAAAAACCATACAGAAACCAAATTAATTTCAAATCATATGAAAAGCTAATTAGGTCTTCAACATTGGGAATTATTATTATTCAGCTTAAATTATATAGACAACTCCCTATTTATTATTTACAAAAATAATTTTTTTTTTAATTTACCCCCAATATATACACGTACATTTATAAAATAATTTTACACGTTTATTAAAAAATTAAAATTAGCAAAAAAAATTGTAATTTTAATGTCTACATGGGTTACAATATGAAATTGAATAATTTCGAAGAATAAACTCTAATCTTTAAAATTTCGGCTATTTAATTTTAAAACATGTTTATTGAACCCGCATATAACTAAATGTATAGAAGGTTGGAGACGTGACTAGCTCAGAATAATGTGAACTAATACGTAATACCAAACACAACGCAATTTCTCGTATCGATTACGATAAAATGGAAAGAATACGATCCCAATGTTTTCTTCTTTCTAGAATTAATTTATTAATTTTTTTATAATTGTTGCATTTGTTCTATAGTCCAAGAAAATTATTTATTGAAAAGAAGAAAGGTCCGAAAATTTTGAATGAAAATTTTTAATAGATTTCAGTTTCTAATAAGATATAAATAGTTATATACATATTATGTAATTGCATACTTTTACATATAAAAAATACTAAGAAAAAATCTCTTTTAATATTCGATATAAGACGGCACGATATTCGACGGTAATTGATAATTTTTCAATAAACTATCGTGCATCGCGCGATACAGGAACAATAGGGTAGCGATATTTCAATATTGCAAAAGTATGTATATATATATATATATATATATATATACGTAAAAAATGAAACATTTATTGAAATCATATAATTCTCTAATTACTTACATAACGAATCGAAAAAAACCCCCGAAACGACGCTCTTACTCTTTTATACTCAAATAAAAAAATACGATCATAAAGTAAATAAATTAATTATCTAATTATAAAAAATTTATAAATTAAATATATTTGAAGAAAAAAAAAAATTTTCTCCCGATTTTCAAAAAGGTAATAATTTTTCTATTCATTGTTGTAAACAAGAAACCTTTTAAACAATTTTCACCATTATAGGACAGGAAGTATTTTATTAAGATATTAAACAAACTTTTGACCTTAAAAACAAAACGCGAAAAAAAAAATTAAAAAAAAAAAGAAGAGAGTTTATTAATTATGACTGTGATTTTGTCCCAACATACACTTTTTTTTTTGCTATTATGATTTTCAAGGACCTTGTAATTAATTAAATTTCGACTATTCTATGATTACGTAAAAATTTAAATGTAATATTGTTTTCAAAGGCGAAAAAAAATACATTATAAAAAAGTGGGCGACTAAATCTTCCACTCATTTTCTTTTTACGTAAAATTTTCATTAGAACATAAGGAAAATTATATGAAAACTGTTGAACGGTAACCGTTTTTTATTATAGATTGTAATACCCGTACGAATGTATGTTCGAAGGGGATACTAAATTTGCCTTACCGTTTGTAACGCTAAGAAATAATGGTCTGAGATAGAGACTCAAGTGCATGTTTTTGATTAGCGTCAAAATTGTTGCGAGAGTCAGCGAGTTGATCGAGCATTGTCTGTCCGTCCGTCCCAACGATAACTCAAAAACTAATTGAGCTAAGTTCACATTACAAATGATTTATTATAAGAAATGCCAGAATCCTATTTAAATTGGATATGATCGGGGTACTGGTTCGGATAACTGCCATACAACTTCAACATTTATTTGGCTATATCTCAGAAACTATAAAAATTGTGGTATTGAAATTTGACACAAGCAAATATATTAATAAGGCCAGTGTGTTTGATAAAAGTTGCTTTGAAATTGCTTGGCTCCTTCTGGTAGCTGTCATACCATTTCAAAATTTATTTGGCTATATCTCATAAAGTACAAAAGCTGTGATATTGAACTTTCGCACAAGTCAATATGTTAGTAAGGGTAATGTGCTTGATAAAATTCGTTCAAATTGATTGACTCTTCTGGTAGCTGCCATACAATTTCAATAGTGGTTCGGCCATATCTTAGCTAATATTGAAAAGTATTGAATAGTACCGAATTATTGAACAGTACTGAAATTTTGTATAAATTAATATTGTAATATGATAACTAAAGTCATAGTCTGTTCCATAGTCAGCTTTGGCATATTTATTCGCACATAGGATAAAAAATTCGTACGAATATCACTGAGTTGACACGGTCAACTATAATTTTTTCTCGTTTTCGTATAAATTGAACAAAGATGCAAAAGCAAAAAAAATACTTTAATCCTTACCTTTACGAGTTAGTTTGAGAACAAAATTTTAAATATAGTAAATACCAAAGTATTACTATTTTTAATTTGACCTTCCATGTATACATTACTTTTGCTTACAAATACGGGATCTATTCATAGAATTTTTACTATCCGAAACTATTAAACTATTGCGGTTCCAACAAATTTATTGAATACGACTCTAAAAACTTAAAGACCAGTCAGTTACAACGCTCAGGTAAGTTAAGATTTATTGCAAAAATTCTATTTTATTTTTTTGTTTTTAATATGAGATTAAAATGAAATCCTAATTCCACTTACAATATTGCAAGGACACCATTTTTACATTTTTAGTATAAATTAAAGGAACAGTCTGCTTCTAGTCTAGTATCGTTGTAATATTTCAAACGGAAACGAAAAAGAAGAGAACACAATTGAAAATATTTACAGTCGCGGTTATATAAAATTTAATTTTTATTACAATGATTAAACACGTTTTTTTTTCCTATGCCTGTAGTTAAATTAATAATTAAAAAACCATCTAAAAACTTTTTTTTTTATTTAAACAACAACAACAAAAAAAGGCCTTTTTTAATCACTTAATTTTTTATTATTTTATTATTTTTCTTATTTCATTTTGTCTTGTAGGACAATTTTGTTAAAAGAATATTAAAAGTTTCGTATCATTTTAATATGCCGCTTCATTATATTAAAAAAGAAAACTGAATCGAATAAAATATTAAAAAAAACCCTAACAAAATCCTTTACAAAACTCTTAAAGTTTAGGATTTTTAAAAAATATAAAATAGTATTTCATACAGTACAGGCAACCTTTGTAACTTTATTATTTGGTATATAGCATTTGGTAAGCCTCGGATTTTAATAAAAACCAAAGTATAACTTTGTTATTGAATTAAGACGGTAACATTATTAAATTTCCTTCGAAAATCCAATTTAAGTATACTTTAGAAATAAAGACAATTATGATCAAATCTTGTTTTAAATTGGTCATTCTACATCTCACTCGCAATTTCTAAATAACAATAAAATTATAACATGTTTCCACGTTTCAATCAGTAGTATTTTTCTCCATAACTTTCTTTCATAAACAGACGCACGTACAAAGTGAAACTAATAAGCAAATTTTTTGAAAAAGTGCTAAAAACTAAGAATATTTATTAATAAATCTCAATTCTACTACGAGACTCAATATTTCCACCGTACTCTGATTACGTTAATGGTTAATCCCAAATTTGAAAGAAAAATTTTTGCAATATTTTTATTAATTTTCCTCCCAGTTATGAAAAAAAAAATTGAAATTAAATTCTTGAATTAAGACAATAAAAAAAACCCGTTTAATTGAAAGCAAATGTTGATATTGAAACAACAGCTCTAAAAATAAAATTTGCAAAAGTTCTGGTCTTTTCATCGATAGATGTAGTAAAAAGATGAAAAAGAATAAAGTCATTTAAATAGCGCGGTAGATAAGCGAACTACTTTTCTAAATAAAAATGGTTTGTATCTAAAATAAGTTATTTTAAATATGAAATGCATAAAATTCAATTTCATTTCTCCCTATTGTCCTATAGAGCACTCTTATTTTCTTGCTATTTCATTGAAAAAGGTATGATTTCTTTGATTTGAAATAAATTAATTTGAAAACTTTTATAATTTTACTAACGTGTAATATTTATATTTTTGTTTAAAATTTTTTCAAAAAATTAGGGTGTACACCTCTAGTTCTTTACTTTCACACTCCTTTCACTCGTTTCAATTCTTCTATTACTTGATTACGATTTGTAATTTACGATCTTCCAAGTTCCATTTCCAATTTCCATATAAAAATCATAACAGCTGACTTTGATTTTATAACCCCAAAAATTCTTTGAAGTACTATGTTGTCAATATATCAAACCAAATGTCAAATTTCTAAACCGCCAAGCATCACATTTTTTTCGGGAGGCATTTAAATTTTTAATTTTTATTTGTAAAAATGTCTTTATCATTTCAAAATGCAGATTCAATTAAGCAAGCGCTTTATGAGGAATTACAAAATGTTTTAAAGTAAGTAAAAGCTTTAATTAAGAAGAAAACAATGTCACATTAAAAACATTTTTTTAGTCCAGATGCAGATATCCGAAATCAAGCTGAAGCTCGAGTTAAACAACTTGAATTTACTGAAGGTAAAAGTTGTACTATAACGTGTAACAAATATTTTTATAAAATTTATCTGTAGGATACGGCGTTTATTTAACAGAATTTATAATGAACCAATCTTTTGATATTTCATTGAGGCAATTGGCATGTATCATGTTGACAAAATATGTCGAGAATCATTGGAGTGAATCAAATGATTTGTCAAAAGAGGAAATTGCCGGTGACCAAGCAAAAAAGACAATCAGAAATATTCTTCCAAATGGTCTTTATGATCCAAATAGCAAAATTAGGTCGGTTGTAGCTCAAACCATTTCTGCGATTGCAAATGTAGATTATCCCGGTATATGGACTGAACTATTTGATATAATAATAAAGTGCCTTGGTGGGAATGAAAATTCAATACATGGTGCTATGCAAGTTTTAGTTGATTTCCCATATGAAGAAAAACAAATCAAAGAACTTGGTCCAGTTATAATTTCTGAAGTATATAGAATATTCGAATCAGAACAGCAATACAGTGTCAAAACTCGAACGCATGCTATAAAAATATTAAAGCCTTTGTTTTCTGCAATAAGCTATAGCATATCGAATAAACAAGAACAAGCACAAATGATGGAAAATGTTTTGAGAAATTTTATGACAAAACTGATATACAATTTATCAGTAAACCCTGAAGCCAAAAGTAATTTCGTCTTAAAAACGGAAATTGTGAAAAGTACAAAATTTTTTTAATAATTTATATAATAGATAAAATACCCTAAAACTATTTTCAGTTCTCACGTTTTTGGTATCAGAAATGCCAAAATATATACACCCATTTATGAATCAAATTTTACCTCCTATATGGCAGCTTTTAACTCAAACAGCTGACCTTTATGTAAAAGTGATTGTAAATGGAACTGAACCAAACCCATTCCCAGAAACAGATGATGAAGGTTTGTTTCAAACACTTATCTTGTTTAATATTAAGTGATAATAAAAGTTCTTTAATATTACAGATGACGAATTGACCAATTTGACAACTATGATTATACAAATTTTTGAGTTCATACAGTGCGTGATTGGCGGAGGCAAATTCAGACCTATTATAAAAAACGTTTTAACTGATTTGATGTACATCATGGTGGTATATATACAAGTATCTGAGGAGCAGATTGAAATGTGGGAAGATGACCCCGAAAAATTTGTTGAAGATGAGGATGATGCTGGCGTTGATTTGACTATCAGATTGTCTGGACAGGACGTTTTAACAGTAAGATTCATTTTTACATGTTGCAAATTAATTCTAAAAATTTATAACTAGGCTTTAAACGATGAGTTCGGGGCAAAAGTGTTACCATCTTTATCTGAAGCTTTGGTCCGCCACATGAATGTTGCTGAAGCAGAAAAAGGCTCTGGCAATCAACATTGGTGGAAAATTCATGAAGCCTCTATGGTAGCGGTGCACACATTTAAGGATCTTATATTAGAAAATGAAACGCACTTTAATTTATTGAATTATTTGACTGTCGTACGAAATCTCCTTAATTTCCAAAGTTCGCCTTATCTTATTGGCAGATGTTTGTGGACCTTAAGCGCATATTCCCAATCGTCTTTATATAACGTTCAATTGTTAGATGAAATACTAGATGTCACACTTGCAAGTCTATCTAGAGATAGGCCGATAGTACTAAAAATATGTGCAGTACGAGCTATTCACGGTTTTGTCGATAATATAGATAAAAATGAAGAAGAAGGAAGAGCCCTAATTTTAAGTAAATTGCTTGGATTTGTTGATGGAATTTTAGATTTGATAACAGGTTGCAAAAGTTCTGTGTTGGCCCTACTCTTAGAAGCACTTACAACAATTATCTCGGTAAGAAATTTTTTCCATATATATGTAGGTATATAAGAGTACATAAAGCGATGTTCGTTTCAGTTTGATAACAACTTCGCAGCATCAGTTCATTCCAAAATTATTCCTTTAACTATAGCAATTTTTTTAAAATATCCCGAAGATCCATTTATATTAGAAATTGTTCAGGATATGTTAAAAGCACTTTCTCAGAATCCACTTTGCCTGCAGCCATTACAAGAAAAAATAATACCAACTTTGGTCAGTATACTAAATTTACAAGGCGAAATGACTAATACGTCAAAACAGGACATTGCACTAGATGTTCTCACTACAATAGTAAAATATTCGCAGCCACCATTAAGTGATAATTTAATTGAAAACGCTTTTCCAGCAGTAGTACAATGCGTTCTCAGAAGTGATGATCATTCAGTTATGGTTAGCGGTGGCGAATGTCTAAGAGCTTATATTGCAGTTTCACCTGAACAAGTTTGCTCATATAAAAATGGAGAAGGTCTCAATTATATAATGCAAGTGACTACAATGCTTTTAAATCCAATGAACAACGAAATGACTGCCAGTCAAATAGGTCGCTTGGTTATTACAATAATTACAAAGATGGGAAATATTCTAGGTGAAAATATTGATTTACTATTAAAAGCTGTAATTAGTAAAATGCAACTGGCCGAATGTTTAAAAGTCATAATGAGTCTGATTGTAATATTTGCACATCTATTTTTAACCCAAATGGATGCCGTATTAAATTTCTTAACGACAGTGCCTGGTCCGACCGGAGAACCAGCAATTCACTTTGTAATATCCAATTGGCTTGCAAAACAAAACTTATTTTTTGGATCTTATGAACGCAAAGTTACTATTATGGCTTTATGTAAATTATTTGAGTATGGTGTAACAACACAAGATAATCGTTTGATTTCGATTAATATTAAAGATTTAGTTCCAACAAACGAAAGTAGCGACAGTGGGAAAATGAAAACTAGACAACAAACGAGTAACAGCGGTGGTCAAGTTTGGATTACCATCCCAGCGCTTGTGAAAGTATTCAAATTACTTATAAATGAACTTGGAATTTTAAAAGAAGCAAAACAATCAGATAATGATTCAGATAGCTGGACAGATGATGAAGAAGATGAAAGTGGCGAAAAAGGTCATTCTAAACAACGTTTTGTTTCTGATTTATATTTTAATGATGATGATGATGAAAATGCAGATGATGATCAATTAATGCAGGAACTCATAAAAGATCCTTTATTTCAAGCTGATATGGAAATAAATTTAACAAAATTTTTGCAAAATTTTAGTAATAATACGCACTTTCAAGAATTTTGTGCTCACTTAAATGAAAGTGAAAGGAATATATTACGTAGTATAGATATCCAATAAGTCTTATTTTTAATTGTTAAGTTTATCTGTATTATTCTATAAATAATATTATTTCAATAACTATATTTCACTCATATATTGTTTGAAAACAATTCAATATTTAAATATTTTTATACATACATAAAAGCAGTAAATCAAATTACTAATTGTTTTTTTTTTATTTAAACACTACTCTTATTTATTTTTTGTAAGTGAACTGCGATTTGCTATAACATATTTTTATGATAATAATATCTTTAAATTGTATCAACTACCTATTTACTAATGAGTAGCAAAATTAAAATTCATAAGTTCAAAAAGTTGATTTCGTTTTAAAATTAAATAATCTAAAAAAAGGAGTACATATTCAGATGCTTAAATGCAAATTATGTACATATACTCGTATATTCTAAAATCAATCGCGTGAAAATAAGTAATATGTATCACACCATTCTATAACACTTTGTATTCACAAATTTCGATAAGAAATTCTGTATATGTATGTATACTTTTTTGATTGTTTCTAACGATAGTAATAAGCGTTTTACCGGTAAAAAAATCAAGTGCCTGCAAGCAAAAAAAAAAACAGCTTATCAATTGTGCATCAGTTTCGGATTTATTTAATCAGCAAAATGTTTCAAATTTCTAATAAATAAATGTATTCTGAATATTGCAAGGTGTAAAATATAATATATTACACAGAGTTATTATTACAACACAGTCAACTTATGATTTGATATAGGAAACCCTTGCATATAAGACGATAAAATAAAGTTTTCAATGGCTCTTTACCAAATGAAAATTTTCAAATAAAATTTTATTTTTTTAAAACAGCTAATTTTGATATCTCAAACCATGATTTTACATTTCTTTTCTTTAATTATTATTCTGTCGATCTCACGCGCATGACTTTAAAAGGGGGTAAATTTGTTATGTACAGCATCTTTAAAAACTACTTGTACGAATATTAAAAATACCTAAAACAATTCTGTTTATGATAAAGAAAGGTAATTTTATTATTTTATTATTAATTTTAGACATCTTTTTTTGAATAAAAAATATTTCATAGAAAATTACTGAAAATATTAAGAATATAATATTGTTGGAACCATAAGTTTAAAAAGAAATCTTCCATATTTAAATGAAATTAATATATCTAAAATTAAATAAACAGACTCTGCCACATTTTTGTAACAAAAAAAAAATTTGTAACCATTATTTACCAAAATGATTTTGATAATATAATTTTATAAGTTGACAATGCACAGAATACAGTGAGGGGAGCATACAAAATATAATAAAACAATAGAGTAGGGTAAAAAATATTTTTATCTACTTTATTACCACAACCGCACTATGTACATATGTACATATATTACTCAAAAATGGGGTCTCACTAACAAAATGAATTGAAAGTTTACTCGTCATCATCTATCTACATAATTTTTCAACAATATTTTTTCTATATCGCTTATATATAAAATTTATTAAAGTTTCATCAGTTTCATTTTGTACTCGTACGTGGTGAGACGATAGTGCGCTTAAAATAATTTACCAGTATTATCATTTATTACATTTTTTTTTACCCCTCTCAACCGGTTTATTGAAATTATATCTGTATATACATATATAATTATTGTAATATAATACGCACACAATATTATTCTGTAAAAGAAAAATAAATAATATTATTTTTATTTTATAATAATTCAAAATAAATAAATAAAAATGGTTAACTATCATAAACCGGAAAATAAAACTGTTCAAGAATTAAAAGATATCGCACATCGTCTTAGGATTCATTCAATAAATTCAACTCAAGCTTCTAAATCTGGGTAAGAATTATATATATATATACATATATTTTTTAAATTATATTAAGTAATATTTAGAATTAAGGCAAGAATATTATCTACAAGTGTTATATTGTACATTCTAAAATATTATTTATATTTAATCATTTATATATGTACATAGTTGAAAATCAATTGTGAATAATTTAAGTGTAATACAGCTTCTAATCATATAACAACAAATTGTTTTTTAGAAATAAAAAAAAAAAATAAAGCACGGCCAAATACCCCCATTTTGGTAAAAAGCGTGGTTAAAAAAATTTTTAATATTAAAACACGTGCTTGGCTTGGAAATTTCTACCAAAAAAGAAAAAGTGATTTTATTAAAAAGATATTATTTGAATAAATATTTTTGAAATCTAATATTTTATTAGAACTATAAGCCATAGATACTAACATGAAAAAAATGTAGACCTTGTTTAAACTTTAGTTGACCTTTTCGACCTTTCATACGCTTACTTATAGATTTTTTATTATAATAATAATAAATATACAGTATAATACAAAATGTATGACGAACATTGCATTTAAGCTTTAATTTTTCTACAAAAATATATTCTTTAAGAATAAAACTATGTATTTTATTCAATAAAAACAGTATAAATTATTAATATGTACATAATAATGTGTTTGTAGTTTAATCTATAATTATATAAATTTGTCCTTTGAAATGTACATAATATTTTACATACATATATATTTTTTTTATATACAAACATTGTTTTATTTGCGTGGAGAAAAAACAATTGAAAATAAATATCAAATTTTGTTAGTAACTTCTTTTGCATTGTATAGGATGATTTCATATTATACAGTGTTTTGAAAAATTTTTGTACTCACCTTTATTTAAATAGAGATTACTTTATAGTAATGTTGTTTTTATAATTTATTGTACATAATTATATGAGTGCATAAAATTTTTATTCAAAATAAATAAAATTATCTTTTAAATATTGTAACTGGAAGAGAAAAAGGAAGAGCGCGTTTTAAATTTTATAAACATTTAAAAATTATAATAATTAATATACTTTACTGGCAGTATATGTCAAAATTTTATTATGAAAAACTATGTATAAAACGTGGGTGCATGTTTATAAAAAATTCTAACTGTTGAGCTTTAATTTCTAGCTCAAAAACTAGAAAACTATCACTATAACTCTTATTTTTCAATATATTGCACCTGTTGAATTGGTTTCTATTTTCAAATAATCTTTCTATCTGAAATGGCTAAATTTTTATTTAAACAATTTATAATAAAATATATTTGTACTCAAATGTTGTTATTTTTTTTATTTTTGCATATAACGAGGTGCTAAAAAGCAAAAGTACTTTATCTCCTATACATGTTTTTTTTTGTGGAAAAATTCAAATGTTGAAAAACTAATACGGCAAATTTCCAATAGGTCCTTTTTTTTATTTTTATTTTGTATTTATTGTTAAAAAGATTTTAACGACATTTTTTCGCTCTATGTGATATTTTATCTACTCAAAGCATAGACTGGCATAAGTGTATTTTTGAAAAAATTTTAAAACCTATAGTGTTGTGTGATTTTTGTATCTTCAACCTATTTAATGAATTCAACACAAACTGTAGAAAGCAAAACTTATAAACAGCATTAATACTGAATATGTATACATATATTACGTATGTGTATGTTTAAAATTTTGTAATAATCGATTTTTATCTGTAATTTTTACGGTTTTTGGTTTTATTTTTTTCTTAAGAAAATCCAATAACATATACCTGAATTGTATTAACAAATTGACATAATTATTATGAATATTAAAATTTTTATTTATTATGAATTTCAAGGCACTTATTTTGTTTATTCTTATTAATTATGTGTAATGTTTGTACATATACGTATGTTTGTACATAACAATAACAAAGCTCATGAAGTTATATTACACATAATGTAAGTTTGTGTACATAATATTATGTAAAATGCATGTTTGCATCTAAAATGATGTAAACATAATTACATACTATATTATGTAAAAATTTGGTAATAATTTAAAAATTTAATATAATTAACCAATAGATATTTGAAAATACTATCGACTGTGTTTGCTGTAAATTATATAAATTTTTATATAAACCACAATTCTATACAAATGTATCTGCATGCATCATGCATATATAACAGATTGTACATAATAAACTCGAATCATAAGAAAATAAAAATAATTATTCTCTTAATAATAGTTCTCTTTATATTTTAATAAGTTCTTTATTGCATATTTTTAGGAAGAAGAAGTATTAACATTGAAAATTAATAATTATTTAATTAATTGCACGGTTAATTAGATCTGTTAAAGTACATAATACAGTAATACAGTGTAATTCTGTTATAGTATACATCTTCTAAATTATGTACAGACAAATTGCTCTTAGGGCTAAGGTTTAGTTCTCTAATTTCTCTCTAAAGATCCAACAAAATATAAAAAATGTTTTATATTTTGCTTAAATTGCAACCTTCTATAATTACAGTATACGAGTAGTAGTTTTGTAAACAGAAAAAAAATTTAATTTTAAAATGTAAAGAACTATGTATTATGTTTATCCAGAACGAATACACAAGACCAACCATTTTTTAAAATTTTGAATTTCAAGTATAGATACAAAATATTTAAACAATTCCGAATTATGAAATTCCTAATGAATTATAAATCATTAAATAAAACTACTTAACATGATTTTCTAAACCGCTCCTGACTAATAAATCTCGCTCACCAAAAAAATGTGATCTAACTTTCATTAAATATAGTGAAAATTATAGTAAATCTGTCGAACGTCTTCAGAACCTGATATTGTTGCAAAAATCTTGGCGAGTACTACAACTTTTTTCCCAGAATATTTTTCAAAAGAATTCTTGCGAAATCCTTAATAAAGCAAGAAAAGGATTCGGCAAAACATGAAAAATATATTTTGTAAAAATAAATGTTGTTCTATACATACTTTCTAATATTCGATGTAGATTTTAGTAAGTTCTAGTTTCTAGAAAATAGATTCAAATGTAATAAATTCTATGAAATTTTTTGATAATACTCGTAATTTGGGGTATCAAAAGAAATGTTACATATGCATAATTAATTTAAATTTTATATAAATTAATAATTATTAGGTTCTAAATTATGTATTCAAAATAGCTTAGATTCCTTTCGAAAAATTCTAAATAAACATAAAATATCCAATCAACATTTTTACCTACATAAATACATACATATTCGTAAAAAATGCATTTTTCTATTAATTAAAATTTGAAGTTTAGAAAAATCGATTTTCTACTTTTGTAGGTCATGATTTTTTCTTGAAAAGCTCAAAACCAGATTAATAACTTTCTAATATGTTAATAATACAAAACTTTATCATAAAATAAAAAAAATTTTAATATTAAAATATTAGTTATGTATGTATAGTGTGAATATTAATATACCAACATACATACATATACATGTATTTCTTTTGTATTGTAAAAGATTTCAATAAAAAAAATAGTAAAATAAAAAGAAAAATTATTTTATGAAAAAAATTATAGGTCATCTACCTAAAGTTTCCAAATCTTGCTTTTTTGGATAATAGTCGTACAAGATTTTTTAAATCTAATTTAATTTATTTCAGACACCCAACATCATGTTCTTCGATTGCAGAAATTATGTCCGTTTTATTTTTCCAAACAATGAAGTACAAAGTTGATAAACCACGTGACCAGTCAAGTGACCGTTTTATTCTTTCTAAAGGTCATGCTGCACCAATATTATATGCAGCTTGGGCGGAAGTTGGGCTCTTCCCGGTGTCAGAATTAAATAATCTTCGTAAAATCGATAGTGATTTAGAAGGTCATCCAACACCACGTTTAAATTTTATTGATGTCGGTACTGGTTCTTTAGGACAAGGTGTAGCAGTTGCTAATGGCATGGCTTATATTGGAAAATATTTGGACAATGCTGATTACAGGTTAATAAAAAAATAATTTAATGTTCAAAATCAAACACAATATAACATAATTGGTTTTTTCAGGACTTATGTTTTAGTTGGAGACGGTGAATCTGCTGAAGGATCGGTATGGGAATCTCTAAATTTTGCAGGTCATTACAAATTAGATAATTTGTGCGTAATTTTCGATGTAAATCGCTTAGGACAATCTGAACCAACATCCTTGCAACATGACATGGAAACATACCGCAAACGTTGTGAAGCATTTGGTCTAAATGCAATTGTTGTTGATGGGCATGATGTTGAAGAATTATGTAAAGCTTTTTATGAAGCTGCTAACACAAAAGGTCGTCCAACAGCGATCATTGCTAAAACCTATAAAGGAAAATATTTCCCAAATATTGAAGATTTAGAAAATTGGCATGGAAAACCTTTAGGTGATCGGGCTGAAGATGTTATTAAAACCTTACAAAATCTAATTCATAACCATGGTACATTGACTTTAAAACCACAAGCCCCTGTTAAAGAAATACCAATCGCTAATATTTCAAATGTGAAATTAGCTACACCACCAGAGTACAAGTTAGGCGAATCTGTAGCAACACGTTTAGCTTATGGTACAGCATTAGCTAAAATAGCTATTAATAATCCACGTGTTATTGGCTTAGATGGCGACACTAAAAACTCAACTTTTTCTGAAAAATTGAAAAAAGCTTTTCCTGAACGTTATATTGAATGTTTTATTGCTGAACAAAATCTAGTTGGAACAGCCATCGGGGCAGCGTGTCGTGATCGAACAATAGCATTTGTTTCAACATTCGCTACATTCTTCACTCGTGCATTCGATCAAATCCGAATGGGAGCTATTTCGCAAACAAATGTTAATTTTGTTGGATCTCATTGTGGGGTCAGTATTGGAGAAGATGGCCCTAGTCAAATGGGTTTAGAAGATCTTGCATTGTTCCGCTCAATACCTGGTAGCACTGTATTTTATCCAACAGATGCAGTTTCAACAGAACGTGCAGTTGAATTAGCTGCAAATACAAAAGGTGTATGTTTCATTAGAACTTCCCGGCCAAACACAGCCGTTCTCTATCAAAATGATGAAAAATTCCACATTGGAAAAGGAAAAGTTGTTAAACAATCGTCAAAGGATCAAGTTTTAATAATTGGAGCTGGCGTCACTTTGTATGAAGCCATTAAGGCAGCTAATGAATTGCAACAAAACGGAGTTCACGCCCGTATTATCGATCCATTTACAATTAAGCCTATAGATGCTGAATTAATTTTACAAAATGGTCAAGCTTGCGGTGGCCGAATAGTTGTTGTCGAAGACCATTATAAGTAAGTCAATATAAAGGAAAATTATCAAATTTCTTAAAAATGTTTTTTTTTTTTCAGAGAGGGGGGCTTAGGGGAAGCGGTCATGTCAGCTGTAGCTGGTCATAGAAACTTTGTAGTTAAGCATTTAGCTGTCACCGAGGTGCCACGTTCAGGACCACCTGCCGTGTTACTCGAAAAATATGGAATTTCAGCTAACAAAATAATCAACGCTGTTGGAGAAATACTTAGTTTATAAAGAAAATTAATACATATTAATATACATGTGTACTTATGTGCATAAGTGCGTATGTACAGAAGTACAGTCAAAAAACTTTTTCAATTGTAAAGTCATAAATTCTTAAAAACTGGTTGTTTCTTTCGTTTGCTAAAAGAACTTAGCCTTTTTCTGTTATATGTGTAGATGTTAGTTAAATTGGGGGTGTTTAAATCACTATATTCAGTTAAACATATGATTATATTTTTAAGTTGTTAATTAATCAACTTTTTCTACGTCATGTTTTCAATAAAGTGTTACTTACAGATTTTGATAATTATTGTAGTATTTTTATTCCATTAAAAATTTTTTTATAATTTTTTTTTTGAAGATATATTCTTAGTTTGACATTATAGTTTACGATGAGACAAGAAACTGTTCTACCATTTTCAAGCCAAATGACGGGAAAAGCCTTGAAAAATATTTTGTAGAATTTTTATTTTGAGAAAACTTATACATACATATATATCTTAATTGAATATATTAATCAAAGATAAAATTAAAGACACGACGTTACCTTTCATATGATCTATTGAACATAAATATGTTATACGGTTCTAAAGATTCAACAGCTTTTTTGGAAAAACTACTATTTGATTCACAAAATAACGCTTTTTCGAAAAGTACCGTTAATACGATCTTAATCTTTTATTCATTTATAATTGCTCTTTATCTCATCTTTAATCCCGTAAAACATAATATTATGAGCTTACCTCTCAAGGTTTGGACAATATAAACATTTTTATTTCCCAAAAATTTTTTATAGGATTTAGTTATAAGAAATCTAAATTATATTTTTATTTTGTATGAATGAAAATTTAAAATATCTTTTAATTTTTCGTGTAGCTTTATCTTTATTACAAAATTTTATAAAAATTCATCGTTGAAGGTCCTTTTCGTCCTTTCAAGCACATTTTAACCAAAAGTACCAGAGCAAAAGTTTCTTGCCTCATCATTAGACATGACGTCATAAATCATGAAATCATTTTCTGGCGCTACATATTGATTTACATACATATATATATGATACAGAAGGGTGTTTCTTTGTAAAATTTCAAAAAAAAAAAAGTAATTGAATCAAGATTTTTAACACACTAGCAAGGTTATAGTTTTATTTAAAATACTTGTTAATGCATTACAAGTGAAAAGTTTCTGTTCAAGCTCTCGTGTTCAACCTTATAATATATTCTATGTAATTTTTTATCAATAAAACAAAAACGTTTAAAAATGAAAGTAAAATGTATAAACGTGATAATTTACATAAAAAACTCTTCACATTATATATCATTAATTTATTCAAACCTATTAATTTATACTCGATAAAAACAAGAATTTACACAAAATATATTTAGTCATTATACCAATCTAAAAATAACAGTGTGAACGAAATTACTAGAAGAAAAAATAAAGTCCAAACTCTCAACCCCGCATTTCTTTGAATTGCTTGTTTAATTTGTTCATTAGCATCTTTCACATTTTCCGTTGCCCCAACCACAGCATTTGCTATTCTTTCTATATCATGTTTTTGAAGAACAATCTAAAACAAAAATTTTAAAAGAACAAATAAAAAACAAGAAATGAAAAAATATTCTATAAAACATTTACCTTTTCTGTAAATATTTCTTGAAGTCTAGCAATATCAACTACATTTTTCTCAATTTGTTCAACTTCTTCAGCTAGTCCTTGCAATTCATTATATAATTGCACATTTTCCGATTCATACATTTGAACATCTTCTGGACTCAATTCACTAACATTATCATCATACGTCGATTCATTCATAGCTTCATCCAAGGCAACTTTTTGGGGTGAATTGATAGTTTTTTGTTCTGTATTTGATTGAACAGTTTTATTTAATTCTTCTGCATCATCGTAATCACTAAGATCAGAACTAGAATTTAACGAATCTTCAAGCTTATTCAATTTTCCGTTCACAATCTTTCTACTCCCTGGTTTAAAAGGGATTTTTTTTTTATCGGCAGCCAATTTTAAAAATTTGTATGTATCTAATTCATACTGCATTCTATACTTCTTTTGACTTAGATGTAAATTATGTACAGCTTTTAAATAACTAGATAATAAATCTATCACAGATTCTATGTGCTCTAATTGGTGATGGTTTTTTGTTTTTCCCTTTTTCCAATCAGAACGCAGTTGACCCAAATATTGTGTATAGTAATTAAACAGTTTTTCTGATTCTCTATCTATCAAATCTCGCTCTTCGTCTGTCATATGTGCAGAACTCTTCAAATGAGATGCAAATCTCATATAAGCGGCACGATTTTCAATTAAAAGATCCCGTAAAGCCGTAATATTCTGACACACTTCTTTTGCTTGCTTCGAAAATTCATCTCTCAATTTTGGTTGCAATATTCTATTTTTATCTGGCTTAGGTAAATTTTTTTTCCTCATTTTCACTGCCATGATACTAGCTTTGAAAACAGGAGTTAAATCCATCTACAACATGTAAATATGTAATTTTTTTTAATTTTATAACTATTGTTTATACTTTAAAAAAGCAAATATACTTTATCTATTTAAAATAAATATGTAACACAAATTTGATAGTCAAATCACGGGAAAAATAAATATTCTCAAAATATTTAAATATATTAGATTTGTTTCTTTAGTTATTTAGTTATTTGTACATATTCTATATCATCAAATTAAATGATTTGTATAGCAATCGTACGGTGACGTGTGGATTAATATCATTTTTGTCAATAAATATGTAAGTGCATTCAACAAGTAAATTTGTGTTTGATAACATTACTTAAGAATAAATAATCAGCTGTATAATGATATTGAAACCACTTAGATATTGTAATTCGAAATTATTGTTTCACTTCGATTCGCAACTATATTATCTGTTAAACCGCGTATTCTAAATTATTGATTGAAGTCTCTTACTTTTTTTGAAATTTATTAACTTGAAACGATTTTATTGGTAAGAAATATAAGACAAAAATTCTCAAAATATTTCCAAAAATTAACTTTTGGTATTTAATTTCAATCATAACCCTAATTGCAATTCAATTTCTAAAACCAATCGCAGATGTATAATTGATTGCTTTTATGCTAAATTCGGAAATTTCATCTCCCGAAAGGTAATGATAAAAAGCTGCTCATGTTTTTGTAACCATAGTATTATATAAGTTGCTTTAAAAAATAGATGTATGAAACTGGCTGGCAATACAAACATATCTTTCATATAAAAACATATATATGGAATTAGATAATAATTTGTTTTGCACAAATAGTTTGTTTTAATAAAATTTTTATATTTATTCAAATCTTATGAAATGTAATTTATGAAACCTTAATTTGAAAATGAAAAGTCCCACTTTTTTCACACAAATTTTCACCAAATCATCAAAACTTTAAAAACCCATAATAGCCTGATTTCTTCGCTCAATCCTCTTCAGTCCTGTATGCTGTTTGACAATTTGACAGGAATGGGCGATTAAAAAAATGCGAGAAAAATCGTAATGAAAATAGGTAAAAACATGCATTTCTTAAAAAAAAAAAAAATAGTAAAAGTATATGTTAAACGTCACACAAATCAACACAATACAAATCAACATAATACATCAACACAAAATTTACAATATGCAAACAACAAAATCTTAGAATGGACAGATAAATGGAAAATGAAAATAAATGAACAAAAGTCAATACACATAAATTTTACAAACAAACAAAATTGCCCGAACTTACCAGTATATTTAAACGGTAAAATTACACCTAATAAAGAAAAAGTCAAGTATCTGGGTATGATACTGGACAAAAAGCTATTATGGAGAGACCACATTAATAGTAAATTAACAGAATTAAAAATTAAATATACAAAGTTACAATGGCTGATTGGTTATAACTCCAAACTCAGTATGGGTAATAAACTTTTAATTTATAACAAGATATTAAAACCAATATGGCTTTATGGAATACAACTTTGGGGTTGCGCTAGTAAATGTCATATAGATATCATCCAGAGATTTCAAAATAAAGTACTTAGAAACATCGTTAAAGCACCATGGTACGTTAGAAATGCTGATTTGCATCGAGACCTCAAAATAAAAACAGTCCAAGAAGAAATAAAAAGATTCGCTGTAAAACATTACGAAAAATTAGCATCACATACATACTAACATTGAAGAATCAAAACTCAGTCTAACGGGGGATGAAAATGGTTCCAGAAGATTAAAACGAAAGAGGCCTTACGATTGGTTATAAATCTTGATTAGACTATATTATGTATATATTATAATAATATGAAATTGATTTGACATGAAACAGATAAAATGTTGAAAAGCAATTGTGTGATTCAGCAAGTATTATTTAATTAGGCTAAGATTACAGAAACAAGCTGATGGTTGGTCATTTTGACCAGTTTTAGCGCTACATATAGATAATAAATCTAAATTAAAAAAAAAAAAAAAATATGTTAAACGTATATGTTAAATAAGATACGATACATTTTAGATACATTTTTATTCAAAGTAGGATATATTTTCTTTCCACTGAGTGGAAACACTACCCTTTGACGTAATTAGAATTTGCTTTATCATGTGTGGCCAGTGGATGCAAGAGAATGTTTTTTAATTTTCAATTACATTTAAACCGTCAGTGTCAAATTTGAATGTTGACTTTTTTTTTAGAAAAGCAGATTTAGAAAAGAAAACATTACCTTCCTATTTCTTTGATTATTTTAGTGAAAGCTTTGCTTTAATATATATTATACAATTAACAATATTGACAATTTTTTATTAACAAAAGGTATAAATAATTTTAAATCAGAGATATTTGAAATGTTTGATAACTTATTTTTTTTCTGTTGCCCGAGTATAGTAATTGATCAATTGCTACTTAATTTTTCTTTTTAAAGCCTTCTATTTATATTTTTCATTAGTGACGTATTTCAATTCTAATTTACTTTCTCATTCGCTCATAAACATACTTACAATTTATAATATGCAAATATGATCAAAGGCATTTGAAGAACTTTGATCTCGAAATCATATAGGAGATAAAACATACATACATGTGTGATTTGCATGTAATCAGTATTATAGTTTGATAAGAAAATACTTATATGAAATTACAATATAAATAACTACACTTATCCACCACGTAGATGATACGCAACAAAATTAAATTTAATTTAATATCCCCATTTGCTGACAATATCAATCAACTAAAGATCCTACCTGTGTTTGCTCTTAATAAAAGTTTTTTTGAAAAAAAAATGTCGTCAGATTCCAAGTTTGATTTGCCGAAGAGATATCAAGGAAGTACCCCAAGTGTATGGTAAAAGTTCTAACAAAAAAAATTTAATCAAAAAAATTTACGATAAATTTTTAGGACTGAATATATAGCTTTAGCACTTAAATATAAACCACTGAACTTAGGTCAAGGATTTCCAGATTTCGCTGCTCCAAAATATGTAACTGACACACTTGCGCAAGTTTCTTGTAGTGAAAACCCTTTGTTGCAGCAATATACTAGAGGCTTTGTAAGTTTGGTTGACATTTTTATTTTTCGATTAAGTCTATAAAACAACTTTTACATTTTTAAGGGCCACCCTAGACTTGTTCAGGCAATTTCTAAATTATACACAAAACTAATTAAAAGAGAAATAAATCCGGAAAAAGAAATTTTAGTTACCTCTGGTGCTTATGAGGCTTTATATTCTGCTATTCAGGGGCATATTGATGAAGGTGATGAGGTAATCATAATTGAACCATTTTTTGATTGTTACGAGCCTATGGTAAGAATGGCTGGCGGCATACCGAGGTTTATCCCATTAGAACCACGTAAATCAAATAAAGAAGAAATGACCTCTGCAGATTGGGTTTTAGATGAAAATAAATTGGAGAGTTTATTTAATAAAAAAACCAAAATGATAATTCTAAATACTCCACATAATCCAGTTGGGAAGGTGTTTCATCAAAAAGAATTAGAAAAAATTGCAAAACTTTGTATCAAATGGAATGTTTTATGCATTTCGGACGAAGTCTACGAATGGCTTGTTTTTGATAACAATAAACATATAAGAATATGTAAGAAAAAGATATTCAAATTGGAAATTTTAATAACAATTGTCCTATGCAGGCACATTTCCTGGCATGTGGGAACGTACAATTACTATTGGATCAGCTGGAAAAACGTTTTCCGTCACTGGTTGGAAAATTGGATGGGCTTATGGTCCTGCAAATTTACTTAGGAATTTACAAATGGTTCACCAAAATTGTGTATATTGTTGCCCAACACCCATTCAAGTAAGAAAATATTTTTTAAAATATTAAACGAAAAAATCATTTTAATATTTTACTACCTATTTACCCACATAATTTACACACATATTTTACAAGGAAACAATAGCTATTGCCTTTGAAAAAGAAATGCAACGAATCGATAGCGAAGAATGTTATTTCAATTCTTTACCTAAAGAACTGGAAGTAAAAAGGAACTATATGGCAAAATTTTTGAAAGATGCTGGATTGAAACCAACAATTCCTGAAGGAGGCTATTTTATGCTAGCAGATTGGTCTGCTTTAGGTACCTAGTAAAATTTGCTTTATCTATACAAAGTTAAAGTACGTTATAATTTTAGAAAATAAAGTGGATCTAAATACAGAAAGTGATAAATATAGAGATTATCGATTTACAAAATATATGACTAAACACATGGGCTTACAGGGAATTCCACCTACTGCATTTTATAGTGAAGAAAATAAACCGCTTGCTGAAAATTATGTCCGTTACTGTTTTATGAAAAAAACGGAAAATCTTGAAAAAGCAGCAGAATTACTTAAAAATTGGAAATAAATGTTGTTATTTTTCTATTAATAGAACATATTTTAGTTATCAACTTTGATTTTGTTATAAATTGAAAGATTTTCTTAAATGCATATACATAGTTATTTGTATGAATTTACTTTATTTAAAATCATGTTTTTTATAGTTAATCAAAATCACGTTTTGTATTCATAAAAAAAGTATTTGGAAATATTTTAAATACTAGATTATACTGTAACTTCGCACTCCTTGCAACCGATATTATGCACCCATATTCCCAAAAATGAGTCTCTTGAAATGGCGAAAAAATCCAAAGTTAATTTTGAAATTTAAGATTGAATGCAGAAAAAATCGTCAAAATTTCGATGTACTTACGTATCATACGTATGTATACACATTATATACCATACACTTTACTAATTTAAGAGCCGTATTAAATTTTTATGTAAAAATTATTTTTCCACAGCATTTTTTATTTTTCGTATTATTAAGAATAACTTTCGAATATGTTTTAAACATTTAATTTTATTTGACTCGTTCTTTGTCAGTATACATATATAAATTTTCTAACCTCAATGTCGTTTCTTTGACTAATTTTTATTGATTACATAAGTGCTTTTAATAAGATTTTAATCTTACTCAATCATTTTTTACATATCATAAACAGATTTTAAAGCTAATTCTGGTTGATCGTAACCCATTTCTTCTGGTGTGAGCACACCTAATTCTGTTAATGTTGGTCGAATCTCATTCAAAAGATATGGATAAATTTCAGCTTTTTTATCCCCACACTTGTCCTTGCAACCTTCAAGCCACCTTACAGCTAAAGCATAATCGTTGACACGACGGGCAGCTTTGAGACCAGCAATAATGATTTTTGGATCTGGTATTAAATCCATTCCTAAGACATCATTCATGCCCCTGCGAATTTCCCATCCATCAATATCTTTTCTATTGAAGTAATCCTCGTAACGTCTATCGAAATCCTCATCACTTTCAGCATGTCCGTGAGATGCTCTAACTGAGTTAACAACAGTGGTGCGAGCTGCATTGAAGCCCAAAGGTCCTCGCATTACCCCTGCTAGTTGTGTAACAGCTGAACGAAACATCTAAAAATTTTTACATTTACTCTTTATATCAACCATACAATATTTTCACATAAAAATGAAATAATTTATTGCAACCTATATATTCTTACATTTATGGGTTTTTATGCAGGTTTTTGCAAAAAAAATATTTGATGCAATAACTTTTATCGACAACTAAAAGTCAGAAAACTAGACAGTATTCTCAGAAAGTGTAAAAGGTAACAGGGATAGACTTATTAATTTAATCAATCAAAATAATCAATTACAGATTTTGACAAGCCAACTAGTGAGAATTATTTAAACTACGAATTTCATATACATACGAAAAAATTGTTTTTTGAGGTTGCGTCAAGATTTTTACATATTACGGAAATATCGCAAAAAATATTGGCGTAAGACAATTTATGAAAAATTAACACTCACAGAATTTTTTGTAATTCAGGTAACTCAGTAAAAAATAATAAACTTTGTCTCGTGAAAGTTATTATTATTTAGTCATTTTGTATTTTTTTTTTTTTCTGTTGTAAAGGGACCCTTTACAACAGTAAACAACAGTGTTTTGTATAATAAAACAAACCTTTTGAAATAAAATTTAAAAGCTGATATATTATATAAAATTATTTATTTTTACAATACTGATATACAAGCAAACTGCACTGCGCCTAATTTTGACTTATTTTTTGATATTCTCATTCGGTGTTGCTAGAAAAAAGAAGGAAATCCGAAAATATTTTGCGTTTTTGTTTATCCAAATAAAAATTATTTTAGCTTTATAATAATAATATACAAGAAAATCTTTAGTTTGATTTTTTTGGTTGGAAGCACAATGTCCGTGTGTCATGAAGAATATGAGATGTGAAACAAATGTACACAAACTAGAATTCTTAAAAACGCTACTTTTAAAAATTATTATATTTAAAAACAGATGTCGCTAAGCATGTTGTTGCTATCTTCACTTCATTAGTTGGAAAAAAATTAAAACCATCATTGCGTTTTTGGGTGTTCTTTCTGCAAAAAAAAATTTAATTCATTCATTTGGAGAACTTTTTAATATTAGATCTAACTTAAAATGTCATCAAACGGAAAGTAAGTTTGTGAATGAAATAAATTAAATAATTTTTAATCATATAATTTGTCTGTTAATATGGTTGTAAAATGTATAAATCAAAGCGCGTGTTGTACATAATTCGGCGTCCATTTTTGTCAAATATCTTTGATAATTTATTTATATATGAATTTAATATTAAATATAAATTGTTTGAAATGTATTAATGAAGTGAGAAGTAATTTTCCTAACTATTTTATAAGCCGGTCTATATTCCAGGAGGACTATCTTTGTCTCTTGGAGACTAGAGTTGCCAGACTATTTTATAGTGCTTCAAAATCTAATAATTTTTTTATTTTTTGGTTTTAGAGTGCCACCATCAATATCATGGGCGCAAAGAAACGATGTGCTATATATAATTGTTAACGTAGAATGTAAGGACGTCGATTACAAGTAAGTTATTCCATTATAAGTAGATACATAAGTTGTAAGGTTATAAATTTTAATCGAATTATGCACTTAATTAATGCTAAATTAAATATTTGCACTTCGGCAATCACGATCCCGGAACCTTTGCAGTTTAAACATAATGCATTTTTGTACCTTACCATTTTAAGTTATAATCTTGTTAATATATACACTTATTTACTATATACTTATAAAATATTCACTTATTTACTATACATATCTAAATGTTAAAATTTTATTAGTCTTAAACAAAACCAAAGAATTAGAAACTCAATCTAGTTACTTGAAACACACAAATAGTTTTCATATTATATTATTAATAATATTGGCCCTTATTATGAAAGAAATGCGTCGTACGATGCACGATATTTCTTATTGCAATACTATTAGAAATATCGTGTATCGTACGATATATTTTTTTCATAATAAGGCCAATTATTTTTAATTTTGGGCGCTTTATAATTGATCAAATATGTTTTTAACACAAGTTCCATGTAATAAATCTCTACTAAATGAGAAATTTTTAACCGGGAAGTAAATGCAATTTAAAATAGTATGTGTGCAGGAAAGTTCAAATGTATAACCGAAGGTGGTAATTTAACTCTGAAATAATATAACGGTAGCTAGCTAAATGAAACTAATGAAGGTCAGTTCATGTATAGGTATACCTTCCTACTTATTTTCCAAGCTTCTTACTATGTACACATTAATACCTAATCATATAAACGATAGATCCATGATTGTAATACATATATGATTTCATAAATTAATTTTTTTTGTTTTTACTCTTAATATAATATTTGTCAATTGAATTAAAAAACGTTGGTATACCCACCTAGAAACCTGCATAACAAATATTTAAGATTGTTAAAAAGGAACTTAATAAGTATGTTGAAATTATTTTCACATGATTAGTAAAATTGAAATGGTACTTAACATAAAATTTAAAAATTCGCTATTTCATTTCTCGTTTTAAATAGTTATAGATAGATGTCTTGTATTAAAAGTTTAGACTTTTCGAACTTTCAAATGTAAAATATAAAAATATATATATAAAAAATCATAAAAAATATATAAATATATATATAAAAAATCATATAAAAATTCATCATGTTGCTTGTATAATTGGATTAGAAATTCAAAACTTTTATGAGCAATTTCTTTTTTGCTATTTTATTTTGAAAGCTTATGTAGAGAACTTTTTCCATCTATTGCACATAAAGTTTTAATTTTTGCTCTTTTTTTTTTATATGTATATGTACAGATTTACAGAAGATAGTATGTTTTTTAAAGGAACTTCTGTAGTTGGTAATATTCAACATGAAGTAACTTTAAACTTCCTTAATAAAATAAACCCAGAAAAAGTAATAACAAAAAACATTAGCAGGTGTTTGGAATTTACCATTTGTAAGGTATTCTAAATAAAAACATATATGCAAAACTTTAGAGATTAAATTTAAATATTATGGATTGTAGAAAGAAACTGGTCCTTACTGGCCGACACTGACAAATGATAAAAAGAAACCTCATTTCTTAAAAGTAGATTTTAATAAATGGGTTGATGAAGGATCTGATTATGATGACAGTAAGTATAAATAATTTTCTTAATAAAATTTAATTTTCATTTCATTTACTACCGTTTTTAGCAACAACGGATTTTTATGACTACCTAAATAATATGAAAACTCCAGATGGTAAACCTAGTTTTCCGGATCTTGGCGATTTTGATGATGATTCAGACGATGAAAATATTCCACAGTTATCAGATTAATATATTAATGAAGAGGAGCAGATTAATAAATAAATATAAAAATTCTTAATACATTTATCATTTAATCAATATTATTAATTTGAATAAAAAACAGAAATTAAGTAATCAACAGAAATTGAAATCATTATGAAGAATCAAGGATATCATAATATGAATGGAAACCAAATGCAAGTTTTAAGTTTTTTTTTTTTAGGGTTAATGCACTTTTATAATTTGATTTCATGATTTTTCTAATGTTTAAAAATTTACAAAAACAACCGAAATATAAATACTGAAGCCGGATTCAGTAAAATTATAAACAATTATTTAATTGAATTTAATATACATACATATATACATGCACAAACGTAATTTACTTATTCATAATTGTGTTGCTCCCATAATTTTAATGTTGAAATCGATCTAATTTGATTTCATTTCATATATGTATAACATTAAAATTTCGATACTTTAGAAATTGTTTTGCAGTATTTAATTTAAAATTTTTGTCAGGCTTGAATTTATACAAGACTCAACAACCTAAATAAATCCATACATAAATGTAGTTTGATATTTTTGACACTTGAATAATGGAGGAAGGTCATAGTGATCATATCAGTTAGGGTGATGGGATATTATTGAAAAGAATTTAATTTTTTATATAATTTCGAATTTTGGTATTTATTTATTGAGAAAATTTCAAGTTTTATGATTAGCAATCTACCACGTCAAGTGATACGACTAATAGAAAATGGGCAAGAAGTTAAATACATACATATGTAAGCTTACTTATCAAGGACTTATGGGGAAAAACCTTATATCCAATTTTGATTAATAAAAACCTACCAAACGGTATATTGAATTTGCATGAAAAATTCGCTTGTATTATATTAATTTAAGAAAGAAACATAATTTAAAAAACACCTTGATTTTAAATTGATACGAAACAAACCGTTAAACTGTAATGTATGTAATTTAAGGTTTTTGAATTATATTTTTGAACCAATTTATCTTATAATCCCGGCAAATATTTAAAGTTTTAGTTTCTTCAGTTATGTGATTAAATTTGAATAGCTGTGTCAAGGTATACTAAGAAAAATGAGTTTTATTATATTAAAAAACCGATTTGGGGAAATAACATTTTATGTACTAATTACGATATTGATATTATAAAATAGCGAAGTTTACATTATAGTGGGTACCAGAGGTGGTTAAGTGTGATACATACAATATTACTTGAAAATCTGCCGCATACACGCGACAAATTAGTACATAATATTTGTCAGCTAATACTATAATTTCAATCAGTACAGTATACACGCAGATCATCAGCTATTACATTTCAAATCAAGTAACGACTTCAAATTAAGTAACTTTTAGACGTAAAGTAGACTTCATTTACTCTTGAAGTGGCTGTATAAGCGTTTCAATTCCTCTTGCCCAACCAATTTTGTAGAGAGGATTTTTAAAATGAACATTTGTGACAGAAAACATTTGTCGAAAGTGATTTTTTTACTAAGTCACAGCAAAATATATGACATATGTATACAGACAATACCAAAGATTATATCTATGATTAAGTCTGATGACTTTTTCATGTCAGACTGAAGATATTTAATAAAGCTCAAATTACATAAGCATTTGGTACAAGGGCTAAAAGCATAATCAAAACAAGCTGATCGAGATAAAATAATAAAACTATACCATTTTAGTTTCAAAATAAGAACAACTTCAAAATGAAAATATTAAAATTTATGTGAGGAATAAGATGTAGAATTATACACAATATTTTATCTTAAAAAATTTTTTTGGCTGGCTGGCTTTTTTATTTTATATTTCTCTATTCATCCTTCTTGGTAAATTTATTGATTTGGGTTTTTTTTTTGATCCTTCATCTAATCATTGATAACAAATGAAAAAACAACCTAAAAAGATAAAGATTTGGTATAAAAAGTGCTAGGGTGTTTTATATTCTCATTATTTGTATTATATTAATATCCTTATACTAAAGGTTTAACAAAATACATTTTAGTATTTTTAGGATTTTAGACAAGGTTTAGGTTAGAATTTAGAAATGTAAAATAGGTGCATTTGAGTAAATTGGAGTTGCCTTTGGATTTCAAGTTCAAATTTTTAAAGAATTATATACAAATCACATCAAATTGTTTTAAAAGGTATCAAACACAAAGTCGGTTGAATAGACCTACTGTTTATTAAAAAAAAAAAATCGTACAGAGACATCTGACGGAATATTACTTAAGAGAATGTAAAGTCAAATATGACGTTTTAAATTTTTGTGTCACTGACTTTTAACAGAAAATTTAAAAAAATGACAATTAATTCCAAACTAAACGGAAACACTTTTGTTTAAAAAGAGAAAAATTGCGACATTTATATTTTCATCTATTCAGGCAGGAAGAAGAAAGTAAAATTTTCATTTCATTTATTCGAAGAAAAAAAAGAAATATTTCAGAAAATATAAAGTTTTAAATATTTTAAAAATTTTGCTGTGAATGTTATAAAACAATTGAAATACAAAAATTTCTGATAAATGTGAAAAGTGTAGCAATAGTTTTTGATTTATATTTTTAAGTTTATTTGCTTTTTCAATTGGTTTTTTTTTTGGGGGATTTTGGATATTGAATTTTATTTAAAAGGAAGGTAAGTGATTGCGCTGTATGTCACTATGTAGATATAGTTATACATTTATATTTAATATTATGAAGTTATTGAGTTTTCCAAAAAAAAGAAAAAATTAAGGAACAACTTGAAAATACAGTAATATTATTTTTAGTTCCATTCCAAGTAAAATATGTACATATATGAATATATTTTGGAAAACCGTTAAAGGGGCGGTGGATTATGCTAAGTATTGAGCGGCAAAAAAATATGAGAATGAACATGAACGTTGTAGCAAATTGTCTAAGTTGAAATAATTTTTCATGTTCTGATTAAGCTTTGAAACAAGTAAATTTGTCTGAAAATTAATTAAAGAAGATTTGTATCGTGTTAGTTTTTAATTAGTTTGTTTATGTCGTTTTATTTGACTTTAAAATACATCAATGACTAATATATGTATAACATGTTTATATACATACATATGTACATATATACATGCATATATGTACACAGTAAGGAGCTACCTACCCTATTAGTATAATATATTCTTTTCATAAGAAACAATTTCAGTAATCTAATTTATTGAAATACGAAAAAAAATTATATTTCAGAATGAAATTTATTAAAATTTATTAATTTTATAATACCTATATGTATGTACAATCAATTTGAAACAATAATTGTCAAACCAAACCCTTTTCTAGAAATAGTATGAAATCAAATAATGCTTTTTGGGTAGTTACCTACCTACCTTTCTACTTACATGCATAATACATACTCGTATGCACATAGATATTATATTATTTAAAACTTACAGTCAGCATTTGATATATTACAATTTCATTATTATAATGTAGTGAAGATAATTTAAAATAAATTGATATATTAAACGTACCTAAATACATCACTACTTGCAAAATTTAATAATTTTAAAATTAAGTAAGTGGGTATACCGCCTACATCAGTAAATATTTAGGCAATTACTTATGTGTATACATATTACGTATTATACGTAAGTATATCTATGTACATATATGTGTTTAAGTAGGTACATTCTAATTTCCATGTACTTTACGTATAGTTATTCTGGATTTTTTTTTGTTTATCTTATAATATGGTAATTTATTAGTTTTATAATATAAATTGAAATTCCCATACCTAATTATGTATGAAAAAGATCCATAATTATAAAAGTGAATCGGGATATTAGTTACCCGATATTATATTAATAATTTTTGTTGAAACTATTTTAAATTTATAGATTTTAAATAAAAATTAACAAAAATGTCGCTGGTAAAGAAATAATTTATGAGAAATTTATCAATTTGTTTGCAATAGATTTAAAGATATTTTGTAAAAGAAACTAATTAATTTTTCTACTTAAATTTTGCATATGAAAAAATAATTTTAGCTAAAATTTGAAATAGGTTTTCTTTCGACCACGAACAGTCCTAAAATGTATTTTGTATTATTGTTTATAAAAGTAGATAGGTTACTTATGTTTCTTTTTATTATTATATTTTTAACACGTTATTATTTTATTATCTACATACCATGTAAAAAGAAAATCGAATTGTAATTGCATTAGAATTTTCGATACATAATCCAAAAGTATTATTAACAGGCAATTAATAGGATATTATTAATCATGGCTATTAAAACTTTTTTTATGTTTCTTATTCATAAAAGTCATCAATTATAATACATAATATGAAATATAATATTTAATATTCATCAATATTAGATTTTAATTTAAACTCTTTTGTTGCAAATTTTTTCACATGTCAGCAATTAGTAGTTTTGTAATTTAGTTTTATAAACAAAAACTCCAAAGTTATAAAGTAAATAGTTATATATATATATATATATATATATATATTAAGGTAAATGCCTACCTAATATGCACATTTGAAGTGTGTAAATTTTCTAAAAATATTATATTTCATAAACATGGGAAGCCAAATTATAAGTAGTTAATTTTGTTTTGAGTTCAAATATATTATAAAATGACAAGAAATTATTTATGTGCATACCTATATAATACAAATTGAAATGGAAATGAAAATAAAGGGGGTATTTTAGTATAATGTCTATTTTTCTATCGATTTTTCTAAATTAAATCAACAATGAATAACAATAATAATAATATTACATGTGTGTACGCTAGTGCTACATATTGCATGAAATAATATTGTTTTTTTAGAAAAAGCTTTTTTTTTTTCAAATATTGATAATTCCATATTAATAACAAAATTGTAAAAATATAATTTCCTTTCTTTTAAATTTTCTATGAAAAATTTATCTAATATGTATTACTACCACAATTATTACTACCACAATTACCTATAGTTACTGACACCCAGTTACATACTATCATCAGTAATAATAATCAGTAAAGTGAACTCAGTTAAAAAAAAAATCCTTTCTCTGTTTTCTTTTAAAGCACGTACTTGTGGTAATTTTATATTTGTATTATTTGTTAAAATAATTTAAAAGTTATTGATCATAAAAATTTGTACGCGTCTTAATAGTACGTGCATAGTACGCGCAAATATTTAATTAATTAAAATAAAAAAACTAAAAAATATTTCAAAAAGGATTTAAAATATTTTAGGTTTTTGTACGAATTTAATAAGTAGGTGTCCACTACAGCAAAAAAAATATGAATAAAACCGCATATTTAAATACTTTTATAAAAGTATTCATATTATATTCTAAATAGTACGGAAAAAATGATTATAATTATATATTATTAATTTATTATGTATTTCCTTTTCATGCATATAAAATTTTTTTAAAAATTACATTTCAATTCAAGTAAATTATGGTATGCAATACAGTAGTGACACTCATAACTATCATTATGTATACTCACATTTGACTAACGATAATTATTGTTTATTGTTGTAAGAGTTCAATGCACTTATGAAAAATATTGAATATGTAGTTAAAAAAAAAAACAAAGAAAAAATGAACAAATTACCTGTTGATTATAATTATGAATTTCATTTTATTTCATTTTTCCAGTATAAATTACTGAGATTGGACATGAAAAAAAAATTTCATTTTCATATTGTTAGAAAAATCTAGCTGAATGACATTGCAATTTTATTAAATTCTGAAATATAAAACATTTCTATTCTTCATTAAATTTCTTAAATATTGTTACTAATTTTCACGTAATACAACTATTACAAAATAGTTCAATTACGTGAAATTTTAAAAACATTTTTTTTAAGATTCATCGCGAAGATTATATTAACATACTCTGTTATAGTTTCTTGCTTCAATTATCTCTTCTCTAAACAATTGAATGATAAGCTTAATATAAATGGTGATATTTTTGTTTAACGTTAATTCAATTTTTCCTTTTTCAACGAAAAATATGTTCGATCCCATGTTTAATTATAAATTATATTATCAATAACAAGTTATTATTAATTTTGTTAAATTTGGAAGAAAAAAAAGTTGTAAATGGAAATATTTCCTTTTTAGAAAATTTTTCAATGAAAATCAACATATTTTTTTTTATTGTACATTTGTATCATTTATATAGGTAAGCATTTATATATATAAAACTTTTAATTTTTACCTGTAAAAATGTTTGTGTAAACGTATATATAATAACAGTAAAGTGCCGATAAATTATATTGTATGAATTAGAATTGCAGAACTACCTACTTGATTAATAATCGAAAGTATTGTTCAAGATAAAAAACATAAAGTGCAATACAAAATTTGAAATGAACAAGCAATATTTAGTGATATTATATGTAACACTTGATCTCTTTTGTTTATATGCATACAATTTATATTAATACGGATACATATTATTTATTCGCAGTGTTCTCTGTTAGTAGCATAACTTGAGGTGTTTGGGGCATTATTGAAAAATATTTCATTTTTCGGTACGGAATTTCAAATTTTGAAATTGATTTTATTATTTGATTTTTTTCTTCTGATTGTAATGTGCTCATTTTTATTAGAAATTTTTATTAGAAAAAAACTAACGATCTCATGCCAATAGAACTGCTAAATCTTTACTGCTAATGTCTACATTCAAAATTATTAAATTTACTATACGCATCTAATGTATTCAATGTTTCAAAATTAATAGTAGTTACTGTATATAACTTTTATTTACATTTATGTTATTAGTTTTACATGTCTCTATATTAAAAAAAAATTTCATCTAAATCTGGTATTGATTCTTTATACGAGTATAAAAAAAAAAAAACAGACTTGAACGTACCATATTTGATATGTAAAATAAAAATGATAATAATGAAAATTGAAAATAAAATGAAAATCAAACAACTGCTCTGGCTGCTACTTTATTTGAATGTAGGCGAATCAAAATATTGATTAAAAAAATACTTCATGATTTATTTTCATTTTTTACTTTTTTTTTTTTTTGTTTTTAGTATTACATTTTATATTTTTGTCATATATTTTTTCTATTTTTCTTTCTCTGCTCTAGTTTCAGTTTTTTGTCTTTATATGCGACTGGCTAAGGGAAAGAGGAAAGAAAATCTAGTCTACGCATAATAGAAAATTTTAGTCTTTTAGTATTCTTTACATTTTAGTACAAATAATAGATGCATTTGAGCGGCTGCCATTCATATTTAGAGTGTTTGTCATTTGAAATCACTTTTAATTATAGTGACATACTGTGTCATTTGCAACAGCTTAATTTTTTTTTTTTTTAAAAGAATAAAAGTAAATTTTAATTGGATCTAAAAATTCTATGTTCTATTTCTCCAGGATAAAAACATTTTTAATTCATTAAAATAAACAAAAATTAGTGATAATTTTATTAATGTAAAAATTAAATTAATTTGAAGAGAAAATTTAAAAAAATTTTATATTCGTCTTGAATACTTTCGATTAAATCCTACGAGTATAAAATAAATTAAAAAAAATTATCAGCTGTTCAAAACAATTGTTTGTGTGTGATTCATAATTTTTGTATTTCCATGAAACAAAAGACAACAAAATTAATTTTAAACCGGTTGATAGTTTCTTATTATTATTCTTTTTAA